ACCTTAAAATAAAGCATTTTGCTGAGCAGTCAGAAACTTGATTTACCTAAGTTTTTGGTAATTTTCATAAATGGAATATAGAAGTTTAAAATAATTAGTAAAAGGCTATTTGATCCATATGAATATACCATTTTCAGATTATAATTAGTAGTTGAAATTTTATTATAAAGTAACGGAAATATTCAAATTCAAGCTAATCGTTTCACTTCTGAACTTGAGAGTAAGATAACCTATTTCAAAAATTTCATACAAATTGGAGCACAGTAAAATTCAGACCCAAAACGCTCCATTGACTTGAGTAAATATTCCGTATCGGATGGCAAAAATATGAAATACTAATTTTGTATGTGAAAAAGAAAAGGGCTGTTTTTAGGGGTTTCCCGGCAATTCGATTTTTTCGAAACCATCCTTGGATTTCAACGACATTTTAAAAATTTTTTTCGATTCATTTTTATTATATATTTATATTTTACCTGCCAAGGGTAATCTCCAATTTTTGCCAAGTTACCCACGAACCACTCTGAATCATACCATCTTCTCATCCTGCTCTTCTCTTGTTTTTTTATTTTTTCACCCTGACTCCACATTCTTCGGTAAAATTTCACCGGAATCCCATTGCCTCGTAAGAAACTTATCATCCACAAAATCTAAAGTCGAATCATCTTCACCATTGACTGCAAGTCCTCTTCCTCTGTTATTTTTGTCTTTAGGATTTGTTGAGTTTGAACAAACGACTCCTACATCTTCACTGTGCCCACAATTATTTTCTCCCCATTGCCAGTGCATACATTGGGCAATGCTGGATTCGTTGCCAAAACAAGCTACTTGGTCGAGCCAGATTTGCCCAGAGCCCGAGCCGTAGAAACCTTCTTTTCTGGCACGCTAGATAAATAATTTATAAATACTTAGTATAATTAAGACTTATAACTAGTAGTGTATGGCATCGTGCCTTAAGGCAAATTGCTGGAACTTCCCGTACGGTAATAAAATATTCGAGAAATTTTAAACGTTTTCAAATATATTATTACAAATACTGTAACATTCATTATTTTTGCTATCTTGTTATATCTGAGTCAATCAAATGTAAATCATAAATCATAAATCAATTTATCTCCAGAACAATAACAATCGTAATTTCATTTCGAATTCAATTTCAAAAAATAGTTGCATACTAATTTACACAAAATTGAAAAAGTGTTCCCTACAGTAAAAAAAGGTATAGTCACAGTCTAAACGCATTTGCAAATAATTCTGTGCTACATTTTCACTTATACTGTGCTTAACTTGGCGGCATTTTCACATTTTTCAAGCAGTCTAAACGCACATGGGTAAACATTTGTACCAGAGTGGCGCTTAGACTGTGCTGAGCCTGGGTAATTTTTTGAATTTTTAATCCAGAATTACAAAAATATTTTATGAAAAATAAAAAAAAGATGTAATAATTTTTTATCCTTAAAAGCAATTGTTTTGTCATACAAGCAGAAAGTTTTTTAGATCATTCAAATCGGACGCTTAGTTCACTCAAAAACTGCCATTTTTTGCACATTTAGCTCTGTTTCTTCGAAATAGCGGGACCTGTCTTTGCCAAAAACTAATCAGCACATCTCCCTATCAATAGGAATCGAATGTTTTTTGAACCACTCAAATCGGTTGATCCGTGCGCCCGAAAACGTGACCGAAAAATTGTATCCATACATACGTACACAAACACACACACATCAATTTTTTCTGAAGTATGCCAAAATGTTCAGAAACCTTCAAAACGTCGAAAAATGTGAAAATTTTCAATTTCGATTTTTGGACGATTACAGTAACTTATCCTACGGAAAGTTAATTTTTTTTTACTTTTTTTTTAAATTACAAAGAAACGGCTTGGCAGATCGTCTCACAAAACTGACAAACGATAGTACTCATTGAGATACATCAAATGGCTTTTAAATTTCTGAAATCGGTTCAGGCGTTTTTGAGAAAACGTCTATCAAAGGTCTAATTTTGACAAATGCCAAAAAACGATATTAATTTTTGCAAACTTTGAAAAATTTTCAAAATTAAACGGCTTGTCGCAGGGCCGTAATATTTTAGTATGATCTAGAAGACTATGGTATCTCTACCTACCGTCAAAAAAAATCATAAAAATCGTCGAAATTTTTTTTTTAATACTTTATTACAAGAAAACGGCCTGGCCGATCTTTAGCAAAAACTAATCAGCACGATTCCCAACCAATATCCTTCGAACAGTTTTTGAATTTTCAAAATCGATTAAGAATTGCGGGCTAAAACGTGGACGAATTTTTCTTTACTTTTCTGCGATTTACAAAGAAACGGCTTGGCTGATCATCGCGCAAATTTGATAAACTCTAGTCCTCAATGAGATACATACGACATTAAATTTTTAAAATCGGTCCAGCTGTTTTTGAGAAATCGTCGATTTACGGTAACAAATCTGTACATACACACACACATAGTTTTTCCAAATTTGGCCTCATTCGATTCGGAATGGATTGAAATGTCGAGAAAACATAAAATTAGCGAATCTGATTTTTTTATGAAAACATAAATTTTTTCTTCGGGAAGTTAATTGAGACTTATAAAAATTTGTATTTGTACTCACTGCTGGTCCATTGAAGCCTAACATATTGCAAACAACTCGTGCAGCTTTATCCGTGAAGTCATCATCGCAAACTGTTCCCCAAATTCCGCGAAATTTCACTTCTACACGACCTTCCATTTTATTTGGACCATCAACTAGACGCACCTCGATATCTTCCTAAGAATACAAATATCTGACATTAATAAAATACAATAATTGTATAAAAATAACTGTTTTTTTTACATTGCAGATTTGTTCTGACTCATCTGATCCATCGGCACAGTCATCGACATTGTCGCATAGGAAACTGGTAGGAATGCACTCGTCCTTTGAGGAACACAACCAGAAATCTTTTGGACAGGTTACTGCAGGAGTTCTGCAAACAACACCAGCAGCCTGAGAAGAAAATTATTGAATTAGAAACTGTCGAAAGGTATGCTCAGCAATTATGATATTTATAATTTTTTACCTCCTCTGGTAAACAATCATGTACTCCCCATCCATTGAATTGACATTCTCGAATCGAAGTCTCGTTGCCCAAACATTCGACATCATCCATCAAAAATATGGTCTCGTTGGCAGGGCCTCGTCGTAAGGGTCCTAAATATTTGGCTTGAGCAGCTCCTAATTTGAAGCCTAATTCTTTGCATATTACATCTGCGTCTCGTAGTCCGAAACGGTCGTCGCATATGTAGCCCCACACTCCAAAAGCTGAGAACACATTTTTGAATTAAAAAACAAAAGCACAAATGCAACGGAAGAGCGTTACGCTCGAGTCGAGTACCAATGATTTGTCATTCGTTCTCTAAGATATCATTTCTATACGGGTCGGTTGTGATTGGTCATCGTGTCGCGTGAGAGTGTTCTTTGACAGTATGCGTGTACGTAGTATTTCTTTGCATATAGTGAAAATAATAAAACAAATGAAAAATCTGTGCCGTGTAAGAAACGTAAGGTTATTGTATTAATTTGTATTATTCATGGTTACTATATATTTTTAGAAATTATTCTTATAGGCAAGACACATAATACAACTGGTCAAAAAATGGAACAATCAATGTATGTTAATTTTAATACATGACAAGTGAAACAACTGTTCTCGTTCAGATGTCAAAGCTTACAACTTCATTTTACTGATCCTGAACGTAAAGTAGCACAAAGTTGCATATTTTTGATAAATAATGAAGAATGAATTAATATTCAGATTTATTACTCTAAACAAGAAATCAAGCACAACAATACTTTGTGTAGCTGTGCATTATTAACTTTCCGTAGGGTAAGTTATTGTAATCGTCCAAAAAACAAAATTGAAAATTTTTGCATTTCTCGACGTTTTTAAGGTTTCTAAACATTTTGGCATACCTCAGAAAAAATGGATATGTGCGTGTGTGTGTGTATGTTTGTATGGATACAATTTTTCGGTCACGTTTTCGGGCGCACGGATCAACCGATTCGATTCCTATTGATAGGGAGATGTGCTGATTAGTTTTTGGCAAAGGCAGGTCCAGCCGTTTTGGAGATACGGAGCAAAGAGTACAGAAAATACAAATCGAGTTTTTGAGAGAACGGAGCATCCGATTTGAATGTTTTAAAAAACATTCAATCAGAAATGATTGGGAGACGTGGTTATTAGTTTTTAGCAAAGGCAGGCTCAGCCATTTCGAAGATACAGAGCTAATTGTGCAAAAAATGGCAGTTTTGCAATTTTTTTGTCGAAAATAATTCAGATTTTAATTTTAGATTTTATTTCAATTCTGACTAAAGTTCTAATATACTTTAAACAAATAATGTCAATTTTGTAATTCAGTTTATGTAATTCTTATAAATATTAGACAATGTTACAATATTCATAATAATCTATCTGAAAACATTCAATATTCCTCCAACATTTCGTTACGGTACGGGAAGTTCCAGCAATTTGCCTTAATGCACGATGCCATATACCCCACTAGTTTATATACAGATATACTTCATAATGGACATCTATGCAATTTATTTATTGCTTGTGTTAATGAAATTATACAACTTACAGTTACATCGTAGTACAAATATTGATTTAATAAAAAAATGTCTGAATCAGAAGAACATTTGACCCTGTTCCTTGAAAATATTAAAACAAATTAAACATTTGTGCCGTGTACTAAACGAAAGTTTATTGATTAGAAATTATTTCTACATTATTCGTAGTTTCTATAAATCTTTGAAGTTATTGAAATGAAAAATATTTTATAGACAAGACAGATATTACTCAAAGAATGAATTTGTATCGCCAGCGAAAAAAGTAAAGCAGTCAATGAATGTATGTTAATTTTAATTACATGAAGTTTTTCAAACACAATTACGTGATTAGTTAAATTGTGAAAACAATATTTGTTTAGGCGTTGTTTAACATAATCCGCTGTGTGAACGAATATTATAGAATTAATTAATCAGCAATTACTTCATTTCTCTAATAAAATTCAAGTCCTAAATGCTGATTACAATGACAAACCGATCATGTCGCATTTGAAGTATGACTTTAATTACATTATTGTTTTCAAATATTATAAATATTTTTATTGCCATTATAAATATATAATTTATAATTTTTTATTATATAAATATGTATAAATTTTGTCACTAATAAATGTGTGCGTCACGAGTGTTACCATATTACTAATTTTTAAGTTAAATGCCATCTCGTACGATAGTAAAACAGTTTTACTTCAATCGCGTGTGAACCTTACGCTCACTTTTTTAGTATTCTTATACTTCTTTACATTTACGCTAAAAATAAATAATTTTGTAGACAATATACCTTTAACTTCAACTCGTCCTTCGTTTGTCTTGTTAGAACCAGACAACCGAATTTCATAACCAATACGCTCTTCGCACTGTTCTTCATCTGTGCCATCATTGCAGTCTTGGATTTTGTTGCATATCTAATTTAAAAAATATAAAAAACAAGTTAATATTTGTTTATTTTGTTGGAACTTTTAGTTAAAATTATGTTTTGTCTAAAATTAATTCATCATTTTTAATTGCAAATACTATACCTTGGATAAAGTGATACATTTATTCCCATCACACCTAAAATGTCCGTCAGAGCAAGCTGCTGGCGACTTTTCCCTAAAGTTTGGTTGATGATAATTCAGAGGCAGAACTTCCAAAGGAGCCTCCGGAAATTTCTTATGCTTCCTCTTAAAATCCCTATTATTATTCGTCAGTTCCAACTGTTCCACTTCTTCATTAAGATCAAAAGTCTTAGGTGTATCTGTTTCATTCATCTCGAACTTCTTACCAAAGTACATCATTTCTATGATTTTACCCAAAGTTTCTGCAACCTCTGGTCGCAAAGGGTTACTCTGGGCGTTTCTTGGCGGAATTTTCATAACGTTGGAAGATTTTGCAACCACATTGGGCAGAGGTGTTGTGTAATACACACTTGGTGGTGTGACAACAACCACCAGAGGCGAAGCAACTGGTTGGGCTGATGTTACGTAACCACGTGGAACAGATGGTTGTGTTTGGGACGAAGGTGTTGGGGCGTTATACTGAGGTCGTCTTGTACTTGGTGGTGTTGATGGTCCTGTTAAATTCAGGTTAAAAACTGATGGTGTGGCTTGGCCTATTGGAATTGGGGCGACTGGTGGTGGTGGAGTTGTGGTATGGTGAGGTGTCACATTATCGTCACAGTAAACTGGTTCTTTATGATGATATACTGGTCGTTTAATATCTGGTCTTCGGGGGAATGCAGTCAGATGGTCTTCTGTGATCGGTTCTTACTCTCGAAGGCGTACCTAATTTGAATTGAAAAATATAGGCAATTTTGAACAAACAATAATAAGCCAAACCAACTTAGTGCAGTAAACGGAGAGGAAAAAAGGGTATAACTTCTGAATATTTTTACTGTGTTCCGAATTGCATGAAATTTTGTAATTTGGGGAGTTATAAGTAATAAACTAGCTGTAAGTGGAATTCTGTCTTAAGGCAATTAGGGCATCGTGCCTTAAGGCAAATTGCTGGAACTTCCCGTACCGCAATTCAAAATTCGAGTAATTAAAAAAAATCAATAAAAGTTGATCAATGATTTGAAACTTTTAACAGAATTTCGAACCATATTAAATCATTCTATCTTAAATCATTTATTTTGAAATATTTTGGAAATTCTGAACTTTTTTTCAAAGCAATCGTACTGCTTTAGCTGCACAAAATATCAAAGCGCGTAAGCGCCGCGTCGCCGTCTAACGCGTAAACATTGGTACGGAACCCATAGAAATGTAAACAAAATTTATACTTATTGTTAAAATCTCTATAAAATATCTGATAATTTGATGTGCATATCTCCAAAGTCGTGTTCCTGCCTTTCCAAAAATTTGAATAGTCCTTCATTTAGTCAATACAAATAAAATGTTTTTTAGAATATTCAAATCGGACGCTCCGTTCTCTTAAAAACTGAGTTACCGTTTTCGGCACTTTTTGCCCCATACCTTTGGAACGGCTAGACCTGCCTTCGCCAAAAACTAATCAGCACGTCTCCTTATCAATACGAATCGAATGTTTTTTGAATTATTCAAATCGGTTGATCCGTGTTCCCGAAATCGTCGACGAAAATTTCTATCCGCACATACATACATACACGCACACACATACACACACACTTACATCCATTTTTTCTAAGGTATGCCAAAATGTTCAGAAAGCTTTGAAACGTAAAGATATATAAAAATTTTCATTTTCGATTTTTTTGCGATTACTATAACTTGCCCTACGGGAAGTTAATAAGTAGACATTGAGCCGTTTTATTGCTAGAAAACGTTTTTAATATTATAGGATATTATTAAAAATATTTTTTAATACATTTACCTTGCAATAAAATCATTTTAAAACCCGTGAAAACCCTAAAACCCTTCAAACAACCTCTAAATTAAAAAAAAACTTCAAAACAAATTGCGGTATGATATAATAAGAATTACGTATAAAAACAAATAATATTTTATGTTTTCTATCTTGATTATCAATTTTTTTACTCTTTTTAGACCCTTAAAAACAACCTCTCGATGAAAAATTGTTTGAAAAAATTATTTTGAAATTGAAAGAAAATTAAGAAATTCAAAATGATATGAATGTTATTTTAATTTCTCGAAAATAATCATCATATCCATAATTTGTTCAACTTTTGAATAAAAACAGTTAATATAACACGAGTACTAATTACACTAGTAATAATTTTGTCTAAACTCGTATATTTGTTGTTCTTGTTACTGCAATTATTAAACTTTCATTTGACTATAATGATAATATTATATTGATTTATTTAACACGTGGACCTTTCAGCCATAAGATTTACTATAAGAATAAATCGCCTGCAAAAATTCTGTACCATGAATATAGATATTTTTCATGATCAACATAATAATACACACTTTTGTGGTTGCCCTTCCCCCTAATTTTTTCTAACAATTTTTTATCAAGGGGTTCTTTTTAAGGGTCTAAAAACGGTTGAAAATTTGATAATCAAGATAGAGAACATAAAATATTATTTACTTTATACGTAATTTTTATTATATCATACCAAATTTATTTTTAAGTGTTTTTTTCAAATTAGTGGTAGTTGGAAGTGTTTTTAGGGTTTTCACGGGGTTAAAAATAGTTTTATGTCAAGGTAAATGTATTATAAAATATTTTTTAATTATATCCTTTAATATTAAAAACGTTTTCTAGCGATAATACGGCTAAATGTCTACTTATTTATTAAGGGGTTGCACTCCCCGGGGGTGGTGGCGGAACCCGAATTGTTTTCACTTTTGAACTTGAGGTTAAGATGAATCGAATTCCAAAATTTTATACAATACGGAGCACAGTAAAAAAATTCAAAGGTTATACCCTTTTTTCCTCTCCGTTTACTGCACTAAAACAATAATAAACCAAACTAACTCTAATAATTAATAGTATTGAATAATTTCTGATACCGACCTGTTCCCGGATGCCAAGGATTGTAGTTCTGGTTCACCTGAGGAGGTCTGCTTGCTGTTTTCATTTCTGGATTAATTTGCTTGTGAGGATCATAAGGCTCAACAGGCATTCTCGTATTATTTTGTCTGTAACCTTGCACGTTGACTCTGGATGGAACTGTATGCATATAATGTGTTGCCGGAGTTGTGGTCGTAATTGGATCAGTATAGTATTTTACAGTTGTGCTCTGTGGAGGATCTTGACGTTGAATGCTGGGATGTATTGTTTCTCTATTTCCATGAGGTCTTACATATGTGTGAGAACCAGCAGGTGGTTGATTTATATGATCTTGGTCTGTACCACTCGTATGTATATTTGTATTGTAATCAGGTCTGTACTGTTCTGGTGGAAATCTTGGACTGGGTTCATAAACTCGACCAGGACTTGGTTCACGATGTCGTGTATCATCAGGCCTGGAATCAGGTGGTAAGTAAGTATTAGTACCAGCAGGCTGATACCTTCGATCACCTTCTTGATGCACATGATGTGTATGAGTTTCAGAGTGCGTTGGATGATAGCCTCTGTTGAAATCATCTCTGCCTATATTAGGTCTCTCATATATAGGATGTGTGTTGTGCTGATGAGGTTGATATGAACCATGTGCACCATGTCCTATATTCCATTGATTGTTGATTTCAGAATGTTGTCCTTGAGAATCGTAAAAACTATCATCATGCCCTGGAACTTGCATCTCTGGCGAAGGTTCAGGATAAGGCGATTGAGGCCTGTGATAAGTAGGTGTGTGATGGCTTGGGCTAGTATCTGGCCCATAACTTGGCATATTTGTATTTGGTCTATGATGGTGATGGTGGTGATGAACACCATGGTGAGCCCCTTGATTGGGCATCGGAGGAACTAATTGCTGGCTTGGTACATTCGGTTGCTGATGGTGATTGTGATGGAACTCGTTTTGTCTGTGCATGCCATGCCATCCATGATGCCCATGGTGATGAGTATGGTGTTGGTGAATATTGGATGGCCTTTGATTTCCATACTGTGATCCACTAACCAGTGGATTTGGTTCATAACCACCTGATGAATGTTGAAACTCTGGATATTGGGGGTTGGTTTCATCTTGCCTTCGTTGTGCATTTTGAGGAGGAACTAAATGCGAAGCAGGTACACCATGTGTACCTTGCTGATATCCGTGCGCATTATGGATGGTCGAACCCTGGTAACTATTTTCTATTTTATTAGATGATATAAATTGCGGATTAGATGGACCAAATTGTAAGTTTTTACCAGGCCTTCCAGGTCTTCTATCCGAAACGTGATGTCTTACAACACCATTTGAACCGGCTTGTTCGGTGTCAGAAAATTTAGGCGAAGGTTTTGATATATCGCATCCCACATTTTGTGGGTAATCACAAACGCTGACTAAGGGATTAAAAGCGGTTCCAGGGCCGCATTCTTGAATGTAGGTGATTCCATTAGCGCAGTTTAGAAACTTAGTGCAATCTGTAGGATGCGGAAATATTCCAGATGCGCCTGATGGACATTTTGGTTCACTTGTAGATTTTGAAGATGAAGAAGGAGCAACTCGAGCTTGGGCTTGATGATGTGAAGTACTTTGTAGCTGCACAAAGTTAGCTGAGGTTGAAAAGGCACCGTGCAAACAATCAACCTTATGTGCATGGTCACATTCTAAGGTCTCAGGATTAAACAATGTACCCAGTGCACACGGTTGGATGTAACCTCTACCATTCCAACAGTTCAAAAATTGTCTGCAATCATATGCATACACGAATTGTCCAGTAGCACCTGGTGGACATTCATCTCCAATGTACACCTCTTTGTCAATATTTTGTAAATTTGATTCCGCTTGATATGCCGGCATTAACTTTGCGCTTCTGGCAGATCCCATAAATCTAGAAGTGGCATCTTGATCCTGCAATACAGATTGTTTTAATTGTTTATCTGTTATATATGTCTTAGTGGCATGCTTATCAATTATAGATTTAGTTTGGGAAATGATTGCCCGAGAGCAATCGACATTTGCAAAGTGATCGCAAACATTTTTGATATGATTGAATAAAGTTCCTGGTCCACACGTCATAACGTATGCATTTCCTTGCCAACAGTTGATAAATTTTTGACAATTGGATTTGATAGGAATTAAACCTGTGTAATTTTCAGGACAACTAATTTCATCCTCGGTATTATTCATCAATTTCACATCGCGTGAAACGTTTGAAGGAATTGGTGAATGATCTTCGAAGTTGTAACTGAATTCAGTGTCTTCGTTAGAAAATATGTGGCGAGCATCTTCAGTAATATTTTTGCAAGGAGTTGTTTGAACTCCAATTTGGTATTCTAACATGCACCTGGCATAAAGAGATTTACCATCCTTGAATTTTTCTTTGTGACGCCCATCAAATTCTTCGACGGATTCGCTGGCATTCAAATCGTCTTGGGTTGATGCTGATATTTCAATATCTCTAGATCGGTTAGAATCTGGCTGTAATAAATTTCCTATTGAATCTAGATATGTAGTATCATTGAATACTTCAACACTTAAATTTATATCAGAGTTTTCGTCATTGGTAAAGGTTGTATCATAATCCAGTAATTCTTCATTGACATTTTCTGAAGTAGTGTCAGGTGTTTCTATAGCATTTTCAAAATCTTTGGTGCTTGTCAGTTGTACTAAAATATCATTCTGAGTAGTAGCATTTTCTTCATCCTGGTTTTTAATATACCTGTCGTAGACATTGGCTTGATTTTTACTTTCAGTTTGATGTAAATCATCGACTACTTGGTTTTGTTTGGTCTCTGATAAATTAGAATCTGATAAATTCGTATTTTCATTGGTTTTCAAATTGTTGTCTTCAACTGGTTGATTCAGTTCTACAGGCTCAGTGAAATTGCTGAAGACTTGGATACTTTTATTATTTTCATCTTGGATACTTTTATTATTCACATCAGCGAAATTGTTAATACTGGATGTGTTATCTTGAATGTTGCCTGTATCACTTTCTATTGGAAATAATTGGTCAAAAGTTGGAAATGCTGCAGTTAAATTCACAAAATCACTCACTTTGTTGCCTGTTTGATTTTTGGTTGCAGAACTAAAATTTGACTCTGCAAGATAGTTATTGAACAAAAAATCAACGTCTTCAAAGGTATTGGTAGAATTAGTTGTTACAATGGGCTCTGTAGAATAATTATTTACCAAGAACCCAAAACCTTCTGTATTTGTAGCAAATCCATCGGTATTATTTGCAACATCAGCTAAATTGTTAATACTAGATTCGTTATCTTGAATATTGCTTTTATCACTTTCTTTCGGAAATAATTGGTCAAAACTTGGAAATTCTGCAGGTAAATCCACAGAATCACTTAAAGTTTTGTTGTGTGTTTGATTTGTGGTTGCAGAGCTAAAATTTGACTCTTCAAGATAGTTATTGAACAAGAAATCAACGCCTCCTAAAGTATTGGTAGAATTAGTTGTTACAATAGGCTCTGTAGGATAATTATTTAACAAGAACCCAAAACCTTCTGTATTTGTAGCAAATCCATTGGTGTTACTTGTGTTGATTGGTGGCACCAAGGTTGTAGTACCAAATACAAAATTTTTACTTTCCCTATCAAAATTTGTGCTAGTAGATTTGGTAAGTGAATAACCAGTTCTATCTAAATCAACATCATCTGTAATTTGGTTTAAAGTTTCTTCTGAATATTCATTGGAATCCTCGAAAAAAATGTTATTGTTTTTGTTGTCCTTAGTTGCTTTTGGTGTAAATAAGGAAGTTTTTGAAAGTTCTTCCAAAATTTCCTTGTTTGCATTTGTGTTAAAAACTATTTGATTGGAATTATTGGTACTAGGCCAAACCAAGATATTTTTTGAAGTTGTTGCATCATTTTGGGATTTATCCAGGTCGCTGTCAGTTGTTTTGCTAAAATTTGTAAAATTGAAAAATATAGGAAAATTTACAAATGTTGTTTCGGTTTTGGCTTCCAGAGTTTCTGTATGCACTTCTGCTGATTCAGGAAAAACTATTCTATCGTTTTGACCACCTGCAAATCTACTTTGTACTTTAACTGAATCTTTGGTCAGATTTGTAAAAAAATTTACAAATGTAGATGCAGTTTTGGTTTTAGCCTCATTTTGTATAAAACTATTTGACCAACTTCCTGAATCCTTTACTGCAGATTCAGGAAAAACTATTCTATCATTTTGATATTTGGTAAATCTATTTTGTACCTCATCTTCAAAATTAGTTGCTAATTTTGGATGATCAATTGGATCTGCAACTCTTGATTTTTTATTACTTTGATGGTAATTATTGGTAAATCTATTTTCTATCTCATCTCCAAAATTACTTGCTGATCTTGGATGATCATTTAGATCTGCAATTCCTGATTGTTTTTTGTTAACTTCAACAACTTTGCTGTAGTTTTGATGTATTTTAACACTATTTTGCCAATGTGTATAAAGTTGATTATAAAACCAATTGTCTATGACGGTTTCTCTATGAAGAGGCGGCTTTTTAGGTATTTCTTTGCCGGAATAAATCTATATAAATGGATTAATTATTGATATAAAATCTATTTTTTTTTGTTAAAACATTTATTTGGAAATACAAAGTATAAATAAGTTGCAAAAGTTTTGATGACTAATTTATCTGAATATTACATAATTTAATTCGAAGGAATATAAATTACAAATATTTATCACAATTTTATTTCCGGTAAAAAAATTCGTTATTCGTTAAATGTTCTTTAAATAAACATAATATTTTTGAAGAATTCTTCTTAATGTTTCAGTAAACATTTCTGATATGTATATTACTATAATTTTAATCAGTTCTAATTATGAAGATCAACAATGATCTCGTTCAAATAATCAATGAAAAAAAATTTTACTTTCCGAAGAAGGAGTTTATGTTTTCATCAAAAAATCCGATTCGTTAATTTTATGTTTTCTCGACGTTTCAAGCCATTCAGAATCGAATTGGACCGAATTTGGAAAAAGTATGTCTGTGTGTGTGAACAGATTTTTTGCCGCAAATAGGCGTTTTGTCAAAAACGATTTTAAACATTTAAAAGCCATTCGATGTATCTCAAGGAGGACTATCGTTTGTCAGTTTTGTGCGACGATCTGCCGAGCCGTTTCTTTGTAATTTGGAAAATTTTCCTTTTCGTCCACATTTAAGCTCATACTACCGAATCGATTTTAAAAAATCAAAAACTGTTCGAAAGATATTAGTTGTAGTTATTCTTGTAATTAACTGTTGAAAAAAAAATTTAAGCCGATTTTTATGGAACTTTTTTGGCGATATATATCATGGTCTTATAGAACATACTGAAATATTACGGCCTCTTGACAAGTAGTTTAATTTTAAAAATTCTTTGTGGTTTGTGAAAATGAGTAGTTTGGTCTTAATGAACATACTAAACCATTAAAGTTCTACGCTGGTTCAATTATAAAAATTATTGATTTTTGAAAATTTGCTTTTAGAAAATACTCAGAGTAAACGTGTTCGTTCCTTTTTAATTATGTGTAAAAAATCCACTCATAATACTTTTAATCACTCATAAATTAATTTATTTTTTATTGATTAAGTCGATTATTTACACATATCGGGAAGTTCATGTAACTTGCCTCAAGGCAAAATACTAAAACCAACTAGTTTAAATGTTTTTTTAAATAAATATCATATTTTTAGAGAATTCTTCTTAATGTTTAAGTAAACATTTCTCATATGTATATTACTATATTTTTAATCAGTTCTAATCATGAAGATCAACAATGATCTCGTTCAAGTTATCAATGAAAAAAATTAGTGATGTGCCGACTCGAAAATTTCCTGATTCGAGTGATTCGAATCAGAAAAAAACCTGATTCGAATCATGATTCGAATCAATTCGAATCAAGTTCATATATGAACAATTATAATTTAAGAGAAGAAATAATATCATTTTAATAATTTTATAAGTGAAATAATTAATTTAGTAAGCAATTAATTCCAAAAAGTGCAGAGATGAATACATTTATACTATATATATAATAATAAACTAGCTACAAATATAACTAATCTTTCAGTGAATTTACAGTAAAATATAACCAAACACTTCTCTATCACTAAAGTATATAAACAATATTCTTAATCTTACGTTGAACGAATGCATGTGTATATTATTGATTGTTTAGATCTAATCTAAACAGGCAGCTGAATCTAACGTCTTACGAATGACTTAAAATTCAATCCACTACTGTAAGATTGATATTATTTCATTTGTGTGAATTGCCATTACTTGCATAATTAAAATATAATAATTTTGTATGTGTATAAAACTCGTTGTGTAGTTTATTTTGATAACAATTAAAATCTAAATCGCGTATTTATTATCTAAATGAGTTTTTGATATTTCATGAACAAATTGCTCTCAGCGCTTAGTCAAAAATAAACAAACACTCAAGACCCATACGCACTGCATCTCCATAAGTCGATACGCTAAACACGGACACATGTTTCGAACTCAAGTCGGTATGTTTCAGTTTGAGTATGAACTCGGATAAATTCATACCGACTTGAAGTCGGGATAAGTCGGTTTGAGTCATAGGAACTCGAATTAATTCATAACGACTGAAGTCGGGATAAGTCGGTTTGAGTCATAGGAACTCGAATTAATTCATAACGACTTGAAGTCGGGATAAGTCGGTTTGAGTCATAGGAACTCGAATTAATTCATAACGACTTGAAGTCGGGATAAGTCGGTTTGAGTCATAGGAACTCGAATCAATTCATATCGACTTGATTCGGTTAAAGTCATATAATTGGAGTCGGGTGATACATTTAAGCGTATTAAAGGCGGGTGACTCGCATGATTTAATTCAAGATTTATTTTTTATATTTATTATTATTATTTTTATATCTTTTATTATTATTATTATTTATATTATTATAATATTGAATTAAATTAAAACATTTTTTTTATATTTATGAAATTTGTGTTCACACATGTTTTTATCACAGTAAATATTCGATTTTCGCGGCTTGATACGAGTTGATTCGAATCAAGTAAAATCTGATTCGAATCAAGTCGTTAAAGGCTTGATTCGAATGATTCGAATCACTTGATTCGACTTGGCACATCACTAAAAAAAATATTTTTATTAACTCTCCAAGTTTTCGAAATTTGTAATAAATACAAAGAAATATAATGAGTCACTTAGAGAAAAAATTATAAATATATTATTATTAAAAATAAATTTTACATTTTCTTTATTAATTAGAATTAATTTGAGACTCTTTAGATTTTATCGCAATTTTACTAACTAATTGTAAGTGGAATTTAGCCTTAAGGCAAGTTGCCTGATCTTTTTGACTTGTGTAAATAATCGACTTACGAAGTCATACTTAGAAACTTATAAAGTTGTGACAAAACAAAAAAAAATGAAATCGTTGAGCCTTTTTTATGTTTTTTTTTTCAATTTTAGTGTCAAAAGATTCAGAATGACTTGAAGACAGAAATGAAAAATTAGAAAAATAGATTTTAAAATGTTTTTTCTTTACAGTTCTTTTTATTGGTCATTTCAAGACAGGTGTAAAAATTTTTATATGATAATGAAAAAAAATTATAAAAGTCAGATTTTTTGGTAAAAACATCAACTTTAACTTTAACCAATAAATTATTGAAGATTTTATTGTTCACAACTACAATTTATAAATATTCTACTTAACATACGATAATGCATATAGTATATTAAAATAAAAAAGTGTATTACATAAAATTACACTATAGGGAATAAATTACATCACCAATAATATACAGTAGAACCCCTCTAAGACAATCACGCTTAATACGATTATTCTTATTCTAATATATTGTATTACTTAGAAACATATTGTCTCTATCCCATATAACACGTATAGCATGCATATATGGTCCGGTTCTTGGAAAATCGTCTTAACGAGGTTTTACTGCAATTTAAAAATAAATTTTTACCAAGTACTTACAGATTGTACTAACACAGGTCCCAGTAGACACAAAAGGAGTATTTTCGTTGTACACGACATTTTTATTATATTCACATATTTTTTGCACTTTACACACAAAAAACACTAACTCATAAATAAACTTCACACGAAAATTATTTTAATTCTAAATAAATAAAATTAGTTATTTAAATTAATTAAGATTCTATAAGCACTACTTCCACAGAGATTCAAACTCATTTAGTCAGTATATTTTTGCATATTTTATTATTTTCAAATTTTGATATTTTAATTATTTAATTTGCACTTGATTCTTTCACTAAAGTGTGTTAATTTATTTTAAAAAAATCTGACAAATTATGTTTGTCTGTGGATTGTCGAATTGCGTATGACTCGGAAATTGATCTCTGAAATAGTTCAATCGCCAAAGGTCATTTTCTTACTGATTACAATATCTTTCGGTGGATGAAATGAGTCGAAAGAGTTCTTGTAATCGTCAATTTAAATACACAAAATATTTTTTATATATATTATTTTTATTAGCTTCCGAAAAGGCTAAGTGGGTAAATAACACCTTCTTTTTTATGGGCACCATTTGTTGTTTATTGAAATTGATTTATTTTGAATTTTATTATATCTTATGAATTTTTACATTTGACTATTTTTACTTGCAAATATAATTTGATCTTTTCGTTTCTATAAATCTTTGAAGTTAATAAAACGGAAAATATTTTTTAAGCAAGACAAATATTACACCTATGTTCAGAGAATGAGATTATATCGCCAGCGAAAAAGTAAAAAAATACAAGTAGTCAATAAATGTATGTTAATTTTAATTACATGAAGTTCTTCAAACACAATTATTACATGATGAGTGAAATTGCGAAAACAATATTTGTTTAGGCGTTGTTTAACATAATCCACTGTGTGAACAAATATTATAGAATTTATTAATCAGCAATTACTTTATTTTTCTAATAAAGGTCCAAGTCCTAAATGCTAATTACAATGACAAACCGATCATGTCATATTTGAAGTATGACTTTAATTACATTATTGTTTTTAATTATAAAATCTTATACTCAGTAACAATAGAATCATTAATAGCACTAAAACTGCCCATGATTGTATATTAACCCTTTCCACTCGCGAATTGCTAGATTTATATGTACTTTGGCGCCGGAGCGGTGGCTTCCGAGTGGAAAGGTTAATTAATTATTATAGTTGTAATACCTATATTCGAATGCTATATTTTTTGGAAAAAAAAATTTCTCAAAAATGGTTCATATAAATGACTTATTAGTTATATACTAGAATAGTTAAATACTATTGATGATGGCATAAATTGTATGCCGAAACGTAGATTTCTAGAAAATGCCATGTGTTTCTTACTTGATGTTATGCTCTCCAAATTTTTATTTAAAAGCTTCAACATCAATCTTTATTCATAGCAAAGTAGAGAAGAGTGATTTTATTTATGCCTGGAGTAGATTATATTTAAAACAAATATCTACTTTTGAGAAGTATATATATATATATATATATATATATATAAATTTTGAAAAAACTTTTACTGACACACTTTCCACTTGATCACATAATCTCACTTTCCACTTAATCATGTTCATGATCAACTAAGATTTGAAATTCTTTTTAACTTTGAAACATATTTAATATTTTTACAATATTTGTTAGTTTTATTAGTAAAAAATACAGAAATTTTTGAACATTTTCATATATATTTTTCCCAGATGTTGTATTAATTTAAAATCTTATCTTATAACGCGACGGTGACACTGATCAGTTGGAAATTGAACTTATTATATAGAATGCTTTTGTCTGAATGCGATTAAAAATAGATTTTAATTTATTATCTTGATAAAACTACCTTGCATCATGGTAAATGTACACAGTGACGATGACGTTCCACAAAAGAGTAAAATTGATATAAAAAATTGAGCAATTAAGTCCTGGCAAATATTAGAAGTAGCTTCAGCTTCTTTAGAACCAATTGATAATTAAGAAATAATTTACGTGTTTAATGCCACAAGAAAAACAAGTTGCCAAAAATAGGTGAAAAATATGCCAAGCAATACGGGCAATATCATCGATCACATCGCTGCCACCAATTTTTGGAAAAACAGCCTGAAAAACTTATTTTTCAAGGCTTTCGATGATATTTTCAATATTTCTTCTAAAAAAAAAGTTTATTATATCTCTGATTATATTAAAATCTTAGATATTAAGATTTTTCCATAAGAAAGGTTAAAGAGACATTTTGCATATTGCGACAGTAAAAATCGTAGTTATTGAATAGTTAATGGGTCGGTATTTAAAGTACAAACTTTTCGAAAAATAAGCAAGCAAGCCAATGGCCAAAAGCGGATTTATACACCAACTCATTCAATTTTTACACCAGTGGTTTCCAATCTTTTTTGCAGTGCCCTTAATTGTTTCAACAATTTAATTTTATAAATACTCAACTGATATTATCAGAGATATAAATTAATATGCAATATGATGTAAAAGATTGAATAAAAACTCATTTTTTTGTTTATTTTTTATTGTCATTTAAAGCTGCACTAAGCTGTTAGCGTCATGGACATAAAATCTGGAGTTCTTCAACATTTATCTATACATTTTTAAAGGCATAACATATTATTGTTTATTGCAAATTCCATTTCTGCTTTCTCTCGATTACAAAATTCATCCATCGATTTCAAAATCCATTTCAAGCACTGTCTTAAAGATTCTTTGCAAATCGCGGGCGTTATCAAAAACAATTCTGAGAAGCTGACATCTGTGTATTTACCAAATTTGCTTGAAATTCTCAGACAACTTAATTCTCTTCATAATTCCATAATTAGAACATCCATGTTATTAATGGAAAATCGGAAATGAAATTACTCCGAAATTTTTACATAATTGGTTAATGGTAATGGAATCTAGTTATGGTAAATATTATTGAGAAAATTAATTACAAATGATTTCATACTAAATGTATATTAATTATCAACATATATGCAGTATTAAGGTGGTCCTTATATATGGATA